AGTAGTGTGGAGGTTCCTCAAAAGACTCCACATAGAGCTTCCCTATGCCCAGCAATCCCACTTTTGGGCATTTACTCAAATGATCACAAACAAGACCATACTAAAACTACCAGCCCAATTATGTTTATTGCAGCATTATTTACCATAGCTAAGATATGGAACCAACCCAGATGTCCCTCAGTAGATGAATGGATGAAGAAAATGTGGGGGATGGGAAGGGGAAACAAAGGAGGAGGCAACAATGCTTGATAAGAAAAGTACCCATGTAATTGTAACCCCTCTGTACAGTATTTTCACAATAAAAAATAAAGTAAAATAAAATAAAATCTCAGTACAAAAAAAAAAGAAAATGTGGTATATATACACAATGGAATTCTACGTCTCCATCAGAAAGAATGACATTGGCCCATTTGTTAGGAAATGGAAAGACTTGGAAAAAATTTTATTAAGTGAAGTTAGGCCCAAAGAAATATGGTTCCCCTTATTTGCAATTACTAGTATATGTCTGAGACAAGCAGAAAGGTCAGATAAGATGATGTTAAGCGAAATGAACCCTAAGATAAGGACACAAGTGTTTTTTTTCTTTCTTCCTATTGTTTCTAATGTATTTATAAGGGTACCAAGTGACTTTTTTGTTGCTTTGTATGTCCCTCCCCCACAGTATAACCCTGTTTTCACTGTATTTGATGTTGGTATAATTTGGGGAGCGGAAGTGAAAAAAATTGTTTAAATAGGGATGCAGGTTGCCCCATTGCAGCAATGAAATGAACAAGTCGCTATGTCGAAAAACGAACTTTACAATTTAGGCAGGGCAGAGGTGGGGGGATGTAGTTGTGAGATGGGAGGGAAAGGATGGTAGTGGAAAAACAAAGGAGGAGGTAACAATGATTGATAAGAAATGCTCTCATTACCTTGCTCATGTGATTGTAACCCCTCTGTACAGTATTTTCACAATAAAAATCTTATTTTTTAAAAGAGGCTTTGTTCTATCAGGCCCTGGATGCATCCCCACTATTTCTCTTCCTCCCTGTTTTAGCTTGAGATTTTTTTTTAAATATGCTTCAGCACTACCTAGCTTGCTTTCAGTGGGTAGACACTTTCTGTAACACGTGGGGTAAAATGGCAAGCTTGAGGGAAAGTCTTCTACATTACATTTTTTTAAAACAATTTTAAAAATACTGTAAGTTTGCTTGCAGGCATGATTGGGAAGAGCCGTACCTGAGAGGAACTGTGAGCGCTGGTTGGGGGAAACAGAGCTGATGGCCAAAACAGACAGTGGCCTTCCTGAATGAGGCCCAGGCCCTGGAGTGAAGTCTCTAACCATGCTTAACAAAACTAAGAAAAACAAATGACACTGATTGGCACTTGCACACAAAGGGAACACCTGATTGTAAACAAAATTATCTGAATGGTTACAGTGTGTATTTTTAAAAATGCCAAGAAAAGAGTTGCCAAGTTTGAAACATAGGAAGAAATTCCTTTATCAATTTAGAAATCCAGAGTTCTAAAAATGAAAATCCATAAAACCTTCAATTTTCAATGTTGGGTGTCAAATTAAGGGTAAGTAAAAAGTTTTGTTTTGTTTTGTTTCTTAATAATGCAATGAGTATCATTCTTCAGAGTTTATTTTTAAAGTTATGTGTATGGCTGATTATCCTTACAAATTCCTCTACAATTTTACATATTTTAGTGGTTTTTCAAATGTAAAAATATAGGTTAAGGAACATTTATGTGAACAGTAAAGAAATGTCTTATGATATCATGTCTAACAATAGACAACAGGCAAAAACGTAGGATCTTCACATGGTAATATAGGCAGCCATTATTACTAAAAGTTAGCTTTCACCATAGAAATAATTTGGAAAACCATATAGAAGAAATTGTAACATGTATATCAACATGCTCAAAATTCAGGACAACAAATGATTAACAGACACAGTTTGTTGGTACAATGCTTTTTTAAAAAGTGATAATTTCCAAGGCTATATAAAAGTATGGAAAATTAACTGTGGGTTCAGCAAAACAGATGTTTCAGAAGGGTTCAAAACAAGAACATGGCTTGCTAGTCTGCAAGGAGTATCCTAATGAAGTCTAGAAGGCAGGCCTTTTTGTGGTTTTGGTGATGATGGTAGTGATGGTGATATTTGGTAGTCCTGAGGATTAGTCTCAAGGCCTTATGCATGGAAGGCAAGTGTTTGCTTAAGGTTTATGTTTTGTTTGTTTTTTAAGAAGGAAGTTTATTAAACTCACAATTTAGAGAGCTAAAAGTCCAAAGGGCCTAAGCTAGGCTCAGTGAGGGTCACCTGGTGTCCGTGAAGCACTGTGTGGTTCGGATTGCAATGATGGGATATATTAGGGAACAACTGATTCTATCTTGAATAAGGAAAGAGAGTGAGAATTGAGTGGAGGCCAGGCTTGCCCTCTGCCTCCTCGCCCCTTTTGTTTTATCAGGCCCTGGATTACCCTACATTATTTATCCTTTAAAAAAATGGATTAATCTCCATATTTTAACCATCTTCAGGGAGAATTCAAGGACTCTAACAAGGTCTACCTTCTTATTTCTATATTGGCATACAGTGGTTGTACAAGGAGGATCTCATTGTGACCTCTCCACACATGTAAATAAATCTCCATCAACCTCATCCCCTCTATGCTCTCCTCCTACCCACTCTCCTCCTTTAAACAATTTCAGTAGGTCTTGTTGTTCTATCGTTATACATGCAAATAAACTACCTGGACCATATTCATCTTCATTCACCCTCTTTGTTAGCTCTCCTTTAGTGTCAATGATCCTTCCTCCATCACAGCCTGTTTTACTTCACTGTTACTCATTTTTAGTGTATACTTATGACACCACAGAGGTCACTTTGATGTTTTAGATGTGCATATATTATATTTTGCTCAGAATAATCCTCCCTATTGCTTTCTCTTCCCCTACTGCCCCCACCCATATTGATCAACTGCTTTCATTGAGTTTCTTTATGCCTTCTTCATATATAGTTACCCTGTGGTTTTTGTTTTTAGTTTTTTAGTTTTTAGGTTTTTTGTCAGTCACGGGGCTTGAATTCAGGGCTGAGTGCTGTCCCTGAGCTTTCTGCTCAAGGACAGACCACTTTGAGTCATAGATCCACTTCTGGTTTTAGATGGTTAATTGGAGATAGGAGTCTCACAGACTTTCCTGCCCAATCTGGCTTCCAACTTTGATCCTCAGATCTCAGTTCCCTCAGTAGCTAGGATTACAGGTGTGAGCCATCAGTGGCTGGCCATCCTGTGTTTTTTCTTTTATGCTATATTCCTGGTGCTCAGTCCCTGGTACATAGTACATTTTCAATAGAATCTATAAAATAAATGAGTAAGTTATGCCAGAAATTTCTGAGTTCCTCTCCAGGTGGAAAAAAGGAGATCTAGCTATTAATGTAATACTTCAAACTTCCTTTTTTAAATTATTAGCTTATCATTATATTAGTTATACATAATTGGTGCATCTCCACATATTACATTGGATTCAACCAATCTCACCCCATTTATGACACTCCTTGAATCTTCCCCCACCCCAAATTATAGCATACCCAACATAATTTTACATAGTTGCAAATAACCTATTTCCTCAGTACTGGATTTTCTTTACCCACCCTGACAATCCAAATGCAAATATATTAAGTTTATGGGTCCAAGAAGGCTGAAAATCCTACTTCTATTTAAAAATAGAAAGGTGACAAATTATTTCATTCACCCCAAAGGGAAAAAATTTAAATTAACCTGTTACTGATCCTGCCTAAAGTTTTTACAAAGTAGAGTCCTCTAACAAAATTTAGCAAGGAAAATGTTTAAGGACACACACAACCAAGGGCTTAACTTCCTGGCTCTTGAAACCATCAAAGTTCTGGCAAGTAAATGATAGAAGATGATCTTTGTATCTGCTGGGGCTTTATATTTTTCTTGGGCTCAGCTCTTCTCACAGCATGTGCATGATTTATTTAAACTATCAAAGAGCTTTTGATAATGGTTCGCACAAGTGGCTATTATTAAAACTTGGTAACCATGGTGTGAAAGGAAAAAAAGTCCTATCAATGAATTAAATGAATTAAAAATGCTTGAGAGGAAAAAGGCAAAAACAGAAATAAATGGCCAATTCTCATGCAGAGAAAGGTTAATCGTTGAGGGCTCTGGGGTTTTGCAGTAGAATCCATTATAGTTAACAAATGACCAGGAAAGGGGCATCCAATTCCCATTCCCAAATTCTGTGTGTGTCAGTCCCATGCACAGAGCTCCCATTGAACTAAAGAGCAATTGGCACAAGGAGAAGATACAGACAGTGGAGAAAAATGCATTGACATTCACCAAAGAAAAAGTAGGTAAATGAATACGGACTTCGAATTTCATGTCGAGATCTCAAAATATAAAGGGAACAGAAATTAAGTAACATTTGCAGAATTTTATTTTTCTAACAACTTCAACTATATTGCATAGAAACACATGAGCCTTTTCAAAAGGCTAAGTATGACCCCAGGCATGTGGCTCAAGCTTATAATTCCATCTACTCTGAAGACAGAGATTAAGAGGCAGTTTGAGGCCAACCCAGACAAAAAGTTCAAGAGACCTCCATCTCAACCAATAGCAGGGTGTGGTGTTATACATCTGTCATCCCAGCTATACAGGAAGCAAAAAGAGGGATTTGTAGTCCAGTCAAACACAGGCAAAACACAAAACCCTATCTTAATATTAAGTAGAATCCAAAAAGCTGAAAACATAGCTCAAGGAGTAAGTGCCTGCCTAGCAAGTGCAAAGCTGTGAGTTCAAACTCCAGTGCCACAAAAAAACACATTCAAATTTTTTGTGCGACAACAAAAGCAAAATCAGCTTTAAATTGCTTTTCCATTAACCAATGCAATGGAAAAAAATAATAAACTGATCTAAACAGCACAAAAGAGACCCTACAAAACACCAGATAAATGCTTAGCTCATATTCTGAAATTCATAAGTACTAGATCTAAGCTTACCGTGCAGATAGTATTTTTATAAGTTCTTTTCTATTTTGTACCCGAAGATGGTTGGTTTTATATTTGGAGTCATCAATCAACTCAGGCAAATTCAAGATCTAAAAATGAAACAAAAATCATTTTAGAAAAGTTCACAAATTCCTCATGGAACTTTGAGTCCTTGTGGATCCTGGCATTTGGGGTCTATCATCATCTCCTTGGTTATAATCTCCTCAATGAGGAGATGGATCATGCTGCTGAATGGGTTTGTAATTTATGAGAAGGTTTTACTACATTCTTGTGTCTACATATGAGTGCACAGAAAGAGTTATCAGACATCCATAATGCCTTGTAACTATATGTATAAGAATATAGAAGAGTTACTAAATTCTTCCTTTAAATATAATATTTAGGGGGCTGGGCTCAATGACAGAGTGCTTGCCTTGCATGCAAGAGGCCCTGGGTTCGATTCCTCAGCACCACATAAGCAGAAAAAGCCAAAAGTGGTGCCATGGCTAAAGTGGTAGAGCGCTAGCCTTGAGCTGAAGAACTCAAGGACAGAGCCCAGGCCCAGAATTCAGGCTCCATGATTGACCCCCCCAAAAAAATTGTATTTAGCAGAAATCTGCATACAAAATTGGCTACAACTAACCTAGAATCGCTATCAAAAGCACTGCCTATATAAAAAAATGAAGTGCTGCCTACACTTGCAGGGAGACCACAGTCAACATTTATCTTATAGGTACATTGACTTATTTGTTCCGCATATTTAAAAAAGTTATCTGTCCCAGTAGTGCTACCCAGGTGCTAAATAAAAAAGAAAGTAAATACATTTGCCCAAATGTGAACCATTAAAGCAATATCAAATTAAAGGATCTTCTTTGTATAGCAGTGTCCCTATTTTTCTTTTGTATGTCTCCCTAAAGGAATACTGACTAGAAATGCTTTTATATACTTCCTCTTCCACCGTTCCTCTCTCCTGCAAATCCCTTTGGACATCTTGCAATTTTAACAAGACTATAATGAAAGTACCAAGTTCCATTTGGAATGAAAAAGACGTTTGGAAAAGAATGTGTGGAGGCAGAGTTTGGCAGTTGTGTTGGAAAGTCAGAAGGAGCATTTATGGGCTGGGGGCAGGCCATGTGGCCTACAGAAAGCCTTGCTGCCTTTATTAATGTATTTGCTTTCAACATAAACATTTAATGGTTTCATTTGTTTCCCACAGTTTAAAATAAAATCGTTATTAATCATCTTACAAGGAGACAAAAGTGAAGAAGATTCTCCAAAGTAAAGAGGCCATCTTAATTGAAGAATTCATCTTTCACATGTTTCCTTTACAAATGATAAAGATAGCGTTACTCTCCTGGATTTGCAAACACCAAATACCCTTACTAAAACAAAACTTCCTGCCACCATATCTGATCCCAGAATTGGCCCCAAATCTTATGCAACAGTCAGAAATCCTCCCTCCCTCGTGGTGAATAAATTATTTGAAGATAAAGCAAGTCCTTTCCCTAAATCACTGGTTCCATTTGCAAGTCCAATCATACTCAAAAAGCACCCTCAGCTACATCTTTTTATTTTTTACTTTTTTTTAACTGTAAGTATTGTTTTATAACACTTCTATTTAGAACACATAAACAGCTACATTTTTTTAATTGTACAGTTACTGCACTCAATGGGATCCCTATGGAGCCTCTGTATTTAACTGTTTGGATCCTCTTTCTTCTTTCGAAGCAATGGCCCTTCTGTCTTCAGCTCTTCCAACTAATGGTCAAATTGTTTCTAGAGAGACAGCTTCCAGATTCTTCAGCAGAACCATCCTTAGGTGCTGAAAAAAGAATGCTGCCAAAGAGAAATGAAGCTGTACATGGAAGTGCTTGATATATTGAGCACCACATTAATGTAAACTTCTGCAACAAGACACTGTTTCCTTTAAAAGAAATAATGAAGGGTACATTTGCTTGAAAAAGAAGGAAGGGAAGGAGACAAAAATGAATGGTCCCATGAAGGAAAATAAGCCCTGATAACAAAAACTGAAAAGGCTTTAATTTTCCTATCATCCAATGCCCCCTTATAGCAAAAAACAAGGTCCTTATGATCATTGCCCAAACCGGACAGGACATGGCCTGACATCTCAAGAAAGTCACTTCCTCCCATCTCCTCCTCTTGCTTTGCTGGGCAGCCATGCCAGCTTTGCTGGACCAGGAACATGTCTACCACTGTGGGGCACACAGACAGCAAAGATGGCCCTGAGAGGAAGTTGAGTGGGCAGAGCTGGCTTTGTTTATGTTCAGTGCATAAACAGCTCGTGGAAGCTTTCGTGCATGATAGGGTGTGACCTTTACAGTCATTAGTTGGTTCTATTTCCTCCCCTCCCATGCAGTCTTTTGCTTTAAAAAGTGTTTGCTGCTTGTTAATAAATGAGTTCCTGCTTGACTTGAGATCCTGCTGCCTCTGGTTGTCTCCAGGCTAAGGGAGGCTGGGGAACTTACCTTTCCTCGGACATGGTCGGTCTTTCGTGGGACTGATTAAGACCCAACATACCACAATTTTACCTTAGGACATTTACACCAGCTCTTCTCTTGCCTGCAACAACTGCCACCAGAAGTTCACTTGGCTAACTCCTGCTTTCCTTCATTGAGTTTGCTCAACTACTAATTTCTTGCGTGTGTGTGTGTGTGTGTGTGTATGTGTGTGTGTGTAGGTGTGTAGGTCTAGGTGTGTAGGTGTGTCGGTGTGGCAATACTAGAGCTTGAACTAAAGGCTTGATCGCTCGTTATACCTTACCTTTTCCACACAAGATTAACTCTCTACTACTTGAACCATAATTCCACTTCTGGCTTTTTGCTAGTTACTTGGAAATAAAGGAGTCTCACAAACATTCCTTCCCAAGCTGACTTCAAACTGCAGTCCTCAGATCTCAGCCTCTTGAATAGCTAGGATTACAGGATAAGCCACCAGTACCTAGCAAGTGTTAATTTCTTAAAAGGACTCCTCAGCTACTGTACCAACCATTGGCACTAACCTGACCCCTCCCTATATTGCCCTTCTTCCCACCACAACTCTTGGCCCTAATTTGTTATATTTATTACTTAATTGTGCCTCTACCTGTCTAGAATGGAAACTTCACAAAATCAGAATATGTTAAATGCTTTGCTTATTTGTATGTCTCAAGCTCTGGTAACATGCTTGTTGTAAGGTAAATCATCCTAGAAGCCACATTTTAGAATATAGAATATTGGAGTCTTTATTATACAGTTAACAGGCTGCAGGCCACCAGTTGTTACAAAGGCCTGCAGCACACAAGTATATATAACACAGCTAGGAAACATGCTAAAGAGGAAAGAAATAACAAGAACAATACCAACAAGCCAATTCAGCTCCAATGGAGAGCTCAGTTGGGATGCTATGATGACTGGAGATGAGCCAGGAGACAGGACATAATCACAGAGACACATGTGGCATGGCCCCCAGTGACCCCCCCCCCGCATGGCCTAAATAGGTAGGCGCAAGGGGCAGATCCTCAGGAAATTCCCAGTCCCAGGCACTAGACTGACAGATTCAGTAACCTATCAGCCAAGTGCCTGCCCCTGCCTCCAGGTGTCCAGGCATGCCCATTACCTGGGAGGCAGGTGATTGGGGGGGAGGGGAGCGTCCCTTACTCCAACATAAAGAAAAGATCCCAGACCTTACAATCCACCCTGTGGCCAATATGGCACCTGCCAGACCTGACCTCCTTACTTCAGCTCAACAACCACTTAACTCAAGCACAAAGAGACAACAGGAGTACTCTGAAGGACATGAGCTTCCAGAGATGCCTGCATAGGTAGACCCTGTTCTACCATGTCTAAAATTATAAAATTCTTATGATCTACAGCCTCTTAAATTAATTGTGTGCCAGGAGGAACTTGGGACAGTGGTCACTGCCTTAGGTCATAGGGTTCATCTATAATGTCATTACTTTATATGTGACATTCATATAGCACATGTTAAGTTCATGCCATTTAAATGTCACCTTATTGTCCAAAAAGAAATATACTCTTTACGGACTTATATTACTATAATCCCTCTGTACATCACCTTTATAATAACAATAAAAAATTAAATAAATAAAATGTCACCCAATAGGGCTGGGAAGGTGGCTCAGTGGTAAAGTGCTCGCCTTGCATGCATGAGGCCCTGGGTTCGATTCCTCCGCACCACTTAAGCAAAAAGAAAAAGCCAGAAGTGGCGCTGTAGCTCAAGTGGTAGAGCGCTAGCCTTGAGCTGAAGAGCTGAGGGACAGCACCCAGACCCAGAGTTCAGGCCCCACGACTGGACCTCCCCCCAAAAAAAAATGTCACCCAATAGATAATACTGCTATAATTTAATGCTGGTCATATTTGATTACTAAAAGATAAGATAAGATACTGTATGTTCAAGAAGGCATAAGAACAAAGTAACAGTGATACTGTAAGAACTATTATAATTTAGTTTTTAGATATAGGAAAAGGAAATATTCTTTGTGAAATGTGAACTTTCTCAATTCTTTGGCAAATTCAAGCCATCTAATTTCCCCTCTGCCACTACAAGTACTAGAAAAATCTCCATGCAGGACTTTATTTATTTGTTGGTCATGGGCCTGAACTCTGGGCCTGGGCCTTGTCCCTCAGCTCTTCAAGGCTAGCTCTCTGCCTCTTGAGCCACAGCGCCACCTCTGGCTTTTTCTGCCTATGTAGTGCTGCAGAATAGAACCCTGGGCCTCCTATATGCAAGGCAAGCACTCTACCACTGAGACACCTTCCCAGACCCTGTGCAAGACTTCTTGCAAACAAGTTTTCTGAGATGGTGACAATGAGTTCTTGTTACTACAGTTTCACTTTAGCTTTGATTAGCATTTACAACTTTGTTATGCTTTTATGTCTTGTGTCACCCTCCTACTTTGCTTTGTCAATGTCACTGTATTTGAAGTGAATTTGGCTATACATTAGAATTGTATTCTGGTTTTGCTTTTTTATTTCCATCCTTTCTGACAATTGCGATGCTGTAATTGATGTGGCTAGATCATTCACATTTAATGCCATTATATTATTGATATTTATTTATCTTTTCATTGTGCATTCTTCTGTCTCTCCTG